CGGCCTTTAAGAATGCTTACCCCAGAAATTCTTTACTCTCACGTTGAAGTACTATCCAATAGCTATTTCTTAGGGCAGCGTCTATAATGCCTAGCCATAAAGAACTACCGAGACAATGGGTCGGAAAGTGGGTGCCCCCAATGCGTATTTGATCGAATTTGGCTTTATTTCCATGTTTCGGACGCAATTTTCGTCCTCTAGGAATGCTTACCCCAGAAATTCTTTGACCCCTCGTTGTAGTACTACCCAAACGCTATTTATTAGAGCAGAATCTATAATCCCTAGCCATACAGAACTGCCGGGGCAATGGTTTTAAACAAGTGGGTGACCCCAGTGCACATTTTATCAAATATGACTTTTTTTCCGTGTTACGGACGAAATTTTCGGCCTTTAAGAATGCTTACCCCAGAAATTCTTTACTCTCACGTTGAAGTACTATCCAATAGCTATTTCTTAGGGCAGCGTCTATAATGCCTAGCCATAAAGAACTACCGAGACAATGGGTCGGAAAGTGGGTGCCCCCAATGCGTATTTGATCGAATTTGGCTTTATTTCCATGTTTCGGACGCAATTTTCGTCCTCTAGGAATGCTTACCCCAGAAATTCTTTGACCCCTCGTTGTAGTACTACCCAAACGCTATTTATTAGAGCAGAATCTATAATCCCTAGCCATACAGAACTGCCGGGGCAATGGTTTTAAACAAGTGGGTGACCCCAGTGCACATTTTATCAAATATGACTTTTTTTCCGTGTTACGGACGAAATTTTCGGCCTTTAAGAATGCTTACCCCAGAAATTCTTTACTCTCACGTTGAAGTACTATCCAATAGCTATTTCTTAGGGCAGCGTCTATAATGCCTAGCCATAAAGAACTACCGAGACAATGGGTCGGAAAGTGGGTGCCCCCAATGCGTATTTGATCGAATTTGGCTTTATTTCCATGTTTCGGACGCAATTTTCGTCCTCTTGGAATGCTTACCCCAGAAATTCTTTGACCCCTCGTTGTAGTACTACCCAAACGCTATTTATTAGAGCAGAATCTATAATCCCTAGCCATACAGAACTGCCGGGGCAATGGTTTTAAACAAGTGGGTGACCCCAGTGCACATTTTATCAAATATGACTTTTTTTCCGTGTTACGGACGAAATTTTCGGCCTTTAAGAATGCTTACCCCAGAAATTCTTTACTCTCACGTTGAAGTACTATCCAATAGCTATTTCTTAGGGCAGCGTCTATAATGCCTAGCCATAAATAACTACCGAGACAATGGGTCGGAAAGTGGGTGCCCCCAATGCGTATTTGATCGAATTTGGCTTTATTTCCATGTTTCGGACGCAATTTTCGTCCTCTAGGAATGCTTACCCCAGAAATTCTTTGACCCCTCGTTGTAGTACTACCCAAACGCTATTTATTAGAGCAGAATCTATAATCCCTAGCCATACAGAACTGCCGGGGCAATGGTTTTAAACAAGTGGGTGACCCCAGTGCACATTTTATCAAATATGACTTTTTTTCCGTGTTACGGACGAAATTTTCGGCCTTTAAGAATGCTTACCCCAGAAATTCTTTACTCTCACGTTGAAGTACTATCCAATAGCTATTTCTTAGGGCAGCGTCTATAATGCCTAGCCATAAAGAACTACCGAGACAATGGGTCGGAAAGTGGGTGCCCCCAATGCGTATTTGATCGAATTTGGCTTTATTTCCATGTTTCGGACGCAATTTTCGTCCTCTAGGAATGCTTACCCCAGAAATTCTTTGACCCCTCGTTGTAGTACTACCCAAACGCTATTTATTAGAGCAGAATCTATAATCCCTAGCCATACAGAACTGCCGGGGCAATGGTTTTAAACAAGTGGGTGACCCCAGTGCACATTTTATCAAATATGACTTTTTTTCCGTGTTACGGACGAAATTTTCGGCCTTTAAGAATGCTTACCCCAGAAATTCTTTACTCTCACGTTGAAGTACTATCCAATAGCTATTTCTTAGGGCAGCGTCTATAATGCCTAGCCATAAAGAACTACCGAGACAATGGGTCGGAAAGTGGGTGCCCCCAATGCGTATTTGATCGAATTTGGCTTTATTTCCATGTTTCGGACGCAATTTTCGTCCTCTAGGAATGCTTACCCCAGAAATTCTTTGACCCCTCGTTGTAGTACTACCCAAACGCTATTTATTAGAGCAGAATCTATAATCCCTAGCCATACAGAACTGCCGGGGCAATGGTTTTAAACAAGTGGGTGACCCCAGTGCACATTTTATCAAATATGACTTTTTTTCCGTGTTACGGACGAAATTTTCGGCCTTTCAGAATGCTTACCCCAGAAATTCTTTACTCTCACGTTGAAGTACTATCCAATAGCTATTTCTTAGGGCAGCGTCTATAATGCCTAGCCATAAAGAACTACCGAGACAATGGGTCGGAAAGTGGGTGCCCCCAATGCGTATTTGATCGAATTTGGCTTTATTTCCATGTTTCGGACGCAATTTTCGTCCTCTAGGAATGCTTACCCCAGAAATTCTTTGACCCCTCGTTGTAGTACTACCCAAACGCTATTTATTAGAGCAGAATCTATAATCCCTAGCCATACAGAACTGCCGGGGCAATGGTTTTAAACAAGTGGGTGACCCCAGTGCACATTTTATCAAATATGACTTTTTTTCCGTGTTACGGACGAAATTTTCGGCCTTTAAGAATGCTTACCCCAGAAATTCTTTACTCTCACGTTGAAGTACTATCCAATAGCTATTTCTTAGGGCAGCGTCTATAATGCCTAGCCATAAAGAACTACCGAGACAATGGGTCGGAAAGTGGGTGCCCCCAATGCGTATTTGATCGAATTTGGCTTTATTTCCATGTTTCGGACGCAATTTTCGTCCTCTAGGAATGCTTACCCCAGAAATTCTTTGACCCCTCGTTGTAGTACTACCCAAACGCTATTTATTAGAGCAGAATCTATAATCCCTAGCCATACAGAACTGCCGGGGCAATGGTTTTAAACAAGTGGGTGACCCCAGTGCACATTTTATCAAATATGACTTTTTTTCCGTGTTACGGACGAAATTTTCGGCCTTTCAGAATGCTTACCCCAGAAATTCTTTACTCTCACGTTGAAGTACTATCCAATAGCTATTTCTTAGGGCAGCGTCTATAATGCCTAGCCATAAAGAACTACCGAGACAATGGGTCGGAAAGTGGGTGCCCCCAATGCGTATTTGATCGAATTTGGCTTTATTTCCATGTTTCGGACGCAATTTTCGTCCTCTAGAAATGCTTACCCCAGAAATTCTTTGACCCCTCGTTGTAGTACTACCCAAACGCTATTTATTAGAGCAGAATCTATAATCCCTAGCCATACAGAACTGCCGGGGCAATGGTTTTAAACAAGTGGGTGACCCCAGTGCACATTTTATCAAATATGACTTTTTTTCCGTGTTACGGACGAAATTTTCGGCCTTTAAGAATGCTTACCCCAGAAATTCTTTACTCTCACGTTGAAGTACTATCCAATAGCTATTTCTTAGGGCAGCGTCTATAATGCCTAGCCATAAAGAACTACCGAGACAATGGGTCGGAAAGTGGGTGCCCCCAATGCGTATTTGATCGAATTTGGCTTTATTTCCATGTTTCGGACGCAATTTTCGTCCTCTAGGAATGCTTACCCCAGAAATTCTTTGACCCCTCGTTGTAGTACTACCCAAACGCTATTTATTAGAGCAGAATCTATAATCCCTAGCCATACAGAACTGCCGGGGCAATGGTTTTGAAGAAGTGGGTGACCCAGTTTCAAATAGAAGTTGTGTTGTAGGTATACCATGAAAAAATTTATTTTACACCAAAATTCTATATTTTTAGTCGTTAATATGAGTTTCGAAAATCGCAAATGTGGGTTAAACATTGGTTTATACGAATCTCATCATGGACTTATTAACAGATAATACTTTGTTTGAATCGTCATCATGATATTATTGTAAATGCTAATTACAAAACCGTAAATGTGAGTTAGAAATTTGCAAACTAAATTTAGAATTTTGTAAATGGGATATACAAATCTTTGATTTTCTTTATAAATCTTATTTTCGAACAAAAAAGTCAAAAACTATGATTTTAAAGAAAAATAAAATTGTCGCTCAAGTAGTTTTCCAAACGCAATTGCAGGATGTCGAATTGCAGGATAGTCAAAAACTATGATTTTAAAGAAAAATAAAATTGTCGCTCAAGTAGTTTTCCAAACGCAATTGCAGGATGTCGAATTGCAGGATAGATTTTTATAAAGAGAATTGCAGGGTGAGAATTGCTGGATAGCTTGACACTAGTCAAGATTAGAATTGCGCATTTAAAAATTACACACTGACAAGACGGCTTGTTTGTTTTTATTTATATTGTAAAAACAAATGCACTCGAAAAAAATCCATTGATTCGTTTCAACAGTCTCCTTTTAGTTTTATATAGAAGATGTGGCATGAGTGCCAATATTATAGGTCAAAGTACGGCCTTCTGTAAGCTTAAATCATTTTTTCGTATTGCATGTTTGATGCGTTCATTAATTAGGTCTTTCCACTTTTCTGTGGAAAGACCTATTGTATTTGTTCTTGTTGTTTTGAATAAGACATTACTAAGTTGTAAAATTCTGATCAATTTTATCATTTAAAACAATAAACATATGTTACATAAATAGAAAATGAAATTATGGATTTTGCCTTTTAGAGAATTTTCGACATTTAGTTTTTTTTTTTTAATTTGAGTAAAAACTTAGGAAAAAAATCAATAAATAATGTTTCTTGATTAAATTTACAGCATGTCCACGGATTGCGATCATGTCCGTTTTGTAATGTTGAATGCTGATTAACATATCGACAAAGTCGTTTCTTAAAAATAGTTTTTTTTCTCGGCAACGACATCATATCACACAGTGAAAAATTAAATAGTGCAAAGTGGGTTTGTCTTCATACTGTCATTCTGTCATTCTGTCATTCAAATTTATAATATTACACAGGTAATACTGGTCGTTATTGAAGTAAAACATTTTCTATTAAATGAAGTCCTAGCATGTTGGATTTAAACCTTTACTGTAAGTTTATCAAGATTATTTAAATTGGTTAACTATAGAAATTTTTCATTTATTTTTTTGAAATTTGAAGAACAGTTCTGTCCTTGACAATTCATACCAGGGGTTACATTTGATTAAAATATGAATTGTATTATACTGAACGTTGTGTCTCCCTTTTTCAAAGTTTTTGTGATTGATGCTCCAAAATGATTTTTAAAATGCTGTATTTTTCTAAACATCTAGTAACGGGCTTAATTGAATGAACCTGAGGTCTGCATACTCAAATCTTAATATTTTGATTTGGACGATGATGTTCGAGGGAAAGCTTTTATTATCATCGTTTCCTCTTTGATCATTTTATTATATCGATTAACCTTGTTTGTTACCTTCAACCATATTTTACAAAGAGTAATAAGTGTTTTGACGCCTAAACAGTCTGAATGAAAGACTCATTTTACATAGTAATCAGTTCTTTTTATGCAAACAAATATGAAAAAATAGAACCCAAAGGAGCGAGAGGAAAAATGCAAACGATAAATAAATGAACGATGAAAAGAAATAGCAGTAAAACGATTTTTGCATAAATTTGTTTGAATAGTGATCATGGAGTTTATTCAAATCTCTATGTTTTAAATGTTTGTAAAGTAAATATATTCGTTACTTATATAAAAATTCAAAAAAATACGCCCAAAAGATCAAAACAATATATAAATTTTTGCTATAATTCTAAAAAGTTTGACATACAGAAAGGTGTTTGCATTTTTGTTTTACATATGTAAATTATTTAATAAGAAAAGAGATTTTATGGTAAGCGAGAAACACTCGAATTTGATGTAAAATGCATATTTCATATGACGGTAAATTATGGTGAGAGTATTTTCTATGTTTTATACCTATCAAATTGGTTGAGAGCACTTCGGTAGTGACATAATTCTAATAATACATTTGTACTCTAGAATAAAGAAATTTATTTTTAAGCATGTATACAATTTTGCTTTGTCATTTGATTATTTGTTTCACATTTCCATAATAATATTAGTTGATCCAAATTGTCCTTCATCTTTGTTTGTCATATGAAAATATCATTACCGTCAGCAGTATCTATTATCATCATATTTGACCAATCATTATGTTTGACCAATCACCAATGTCCTTGAACTGGAAAATATTCAGTGATGGTTTAAGAGTATCCGATATAAATATTGTGATAATATTACATGTCGTGTAAATGACCAAAACAGTCATTTTTGTTGTTTTTATGTAAAACGTTTAAACACTTCAATTCTTTTTTCAATATTGATATGGTTAACAGCCTTCTCTATCAACAATGCTTGATCATGGAACTAGCGTATCTAGTAGCAGAATAAAAGCAATTGGACTAACTTAACATTGATTAACTTTATACATTGGAATAAGATGAAGAAAAAAAGAGATCAGTTTTTATTTTGCTTATCTTTATATATAATGTAATAATGTCATCTTTGTAAATAATGGCCTTTCTGTAGAAATAAACGCTTTATTACGTAATACAACGAATGAATAAAATGAAATTATATTTAGAAAGAGGTGGAAATATGTACTCATATTCAGACAATAAAAAATATCCAAGAATACCAGATAAACCCAAGTATTAAGACGCAAAAAATGATAAATCAGTCTCAATTGGTGTATATATGTCGAAATCTTTAATAATTTCAAATTTGTATTTCATAGTATTTCTGTGCATAATTGATATATCAAGCTTTGCATTAGCCTTGAATAATTTACTTACCATCATCTTTGACCAATATATGGATCATTTACTAAAAATATCGAATTTTGAAATTGCAAAATCGAATAATACTTACAAGTTTAAACCATCATTTTTATAATCAAACCAACAAAATAAAACCAAATAAATATTATTATTTCATACAATAATATATATTTAAACTTTTGTTTATGTGTAGCAATGTTTTGACTTATCCTATTAACATTTTCAAAAACAATTTTGGCTATTCGGGAAAATTCTTAATAAAACTTTAAAATTGTGTCTCATGGAAAATAAAGTTGTTTTCAAGAACACAATTTCGAATATTTTCTGTCGGTGAATTGGTCGACAGCTTGTCAATTTTCCTTGTTATACCAAAAATATCTCTCGTACGTCATAAAAATACTAAGAGCATCGTAAGTTTAAATATACCAATTATTGAAATAAATTCATTTTAATAAACACAACATCAAGAACTTTTCTCGCATATTGTTTTACATTTTTGTCAATAAGTGTTTGGTAACTATAATGTACGTTTACTATATGTCCATTCAATTAAGTTTTATCATGTTACTAGCGAATACTATCTATCAGTTGTGAATATGATGTGTATTTAGGATAACGATGTTGTTTTTCAATTTTCAATACTTTTCAATTATGTATATGTTAAATCAAGAAATAATCCATGGTGGCCGTACATTTGTTTTCATTTAACCATATTCGATTCTTCCCTTTATGTATTCGACATTTGTGAAATGTAATAGTTACTCATGAAAAATAGATGATAGAGACCTAGGGTCTCTTGATTTGAAGTCCATGGTCCACCGAGAAGAAAATGAGGTCAATGTCAAAGGTCAAGGTTTATGTTTATTTTTTTTGCTACTACTAAGAAACAGTAAGATTTATCGACAAAATATTTTCACTAAATTGTTAGTTGCACTATGTTGTAAAAGGAAATTGTTTCTTCCAAGGGGTACGGTTACATTTACTACGAGTTTTCTCTCCTGAAATGCTAAAATTAAGATGTATGGTATTGTAACTTATAAACAATACATAGTAGAGACCTAAAGTCTTTTGATATGAAGTCCTTGCTTGATGACATTGAACTTGAGGTCAAGGTCAAAGGTAAATGTGACGTTCTAGATTTTGACCTTTGGTATAACTTCATATTGATACATGATAAAGCCGTAGGGTCTTTTGCATTTGATAGGAATACACATGACCTTGATACAGTAAACCGGAAGTGACCTTAAGGAAACTGGAGGTAGCCATGCTTGCATTAATGTAATATAAAAGTATCTAATGCCATTTATTTTGGAATCAGTGTCAAGTGACATATCATATTCATATAATACCGGAAGTGACATTTTTAACCTGAAGTAGCAAATAATCTCCCTTATTATAAGCAAATAGAAACAATATACGTTTGGAATCAGCTTTAATTAAACTATCGTCCAGAAATTACATTTTAAACCGGCTTTTAGTATTTTCATATCACTTGAAAGACCTTCAATTTTTCTCTGAACAAATGGTTTTTAATTTGTATTTAGAAATTGGATTGTTTTCAGCTATGTCTGCCTCTATCCACCCGACTGTGTCCATTTTTGTCCGCCTGTATCCATGTGTGTCTTTGATTCTTTCTAGAAAAAAGCATTGCTTCCAGTTGTATCCACCTGAAGCCACCGGCTTTCTTTAAATTTATATAGAAATAGCATTGTGTCCAGTTGTTTTCGTCTATATTCTCTTGTTTTTTTAATTTTTATATAGAAATAACGCTTTGTCTACTTGTGTCCACCAGAAGCCCTCGTTTCGTTAAAGTTTGCACCGGAAACTGGACATATCTTCCTTATTCATTGTTATTTGTATTTCATAAGGAACATTATTTGCTGGTATCATGAATCAGTAAACCGGTAGCTCATGATTGATTGTATAATACAAAGGACAGCAGTATTGATACAAAATGACTGCAAAATTGCATTTGCTTTAATTGAGAGTCCCAACATTACCTCTTTTTATTAAAAATATTAAAAACAGTAGTTTTGACATATCAGAATAGTTCGTTTAACAAAATGTGTGCATCATCTAACAACATTGTACATAATTGTTTTTCATGATGGCAATAATATGGCGGCATCTAAAATCAGGAAAACTCAGAACATATTGTAAATGTATTCAAATGAAGGCAGTAATAGTATCCATAACTACCACTTGTCGTCTGGTTTCAAAAGTATGTATGGCACGCCTGAACCACTTTTATCAATTAATCTTAGATTATCTCAGATAAACTAGGATTATCTCAGATAATCCCGGTTTATCTCAGATAAACTAAGATTATCTCAGCTTAATTCAAATTCGAGAAAATCCTAGTTTATCTCAGAAAATACAGAAAATTCATTATCTGGAGAAAATCCCGATTTATCTCAAAATATTAAGAAAATCTAGGTTTTTCTGATCGATTTTCAGATAATCCTAATTTATCTCCAGATAATTAATTTTCTCAATTTCAGATAATGAATTATCTCATTTCTCGAGAAAATCTAGGTTTATCTCGGATTCTAAATATACAAAAGAACAATGTAACGAGTGTTTTAATTGGACGACACTGAATCCGGCGTTTAACGTTTTACTTTCTCTTTGAAACCATGATGGGGACGAATTCACTTCCTATTATTGGGTGAACGGGGATGTGCCAAAATATGGGTAATAATTTTGCGAGATTTTATATAAAAATTAGCGTCCTTTTCAGAGGAGGGGTGACATTCAGCATACGGCACGCAATTTTAACTGATCGATCGCTGTTATTGTGTCATTTATCACTACTCGTGGTGTGAACATCACCGTTATTGACACCTGGACAAGCGAAATTTGTTGAATCAATTATAAAAACAAGTAATATACAGAAGGGCTGATTATATACAATATACATATACTTTGTACATACGTAATAAACAAATTTGGTAGCTATTTCTTTTACACAAACTGACTGTTTATTACCGACGGCTAATTTCGACATCGATAATCATTGAATTCTCATATTTTAATTCATTCAGTCGGTTTTAATTTTTTAATCGTGACAAAGTTTTGTAAAATATTTAATTTTAACTATTGCGTTATTTCGTCATTTGTCAGTAAACAAAATAAATAGCACTTGAAAGAAGGCAACTAAGTAATCCAATACACAAATGCACGATTCAATTATGGAAAAAACAATTATTTCATCATGGTTATTCATTAGACATAATTTTCATTTTGTTTTCAAAATAATTAAATA